TATGCAATACCATTTTAATAAGGAAACATTGGAAACAAATATTCATCCTTAGGGAAGTTGTCAAATACCACTCCACACTCAAATAAACATTGATAATGGCAAAATTGCATGCTTTAATGAGGAAAGATGGATACGATCTATTGCAGGTCATAGATGATTCAGGGGTTTGTTTACTTGTTTGTTTGTTTTAGCTTGTATTAAAGGTGTATGTGTGTACACAATGCAGTGATCTGGTGCCATAGAGCATGAATATTAAGAAGGAAGTGTAACTGACTTGCCAGAAATGAATATATTATAAAGAGATGATTTTTGGATTAGATTATCAAAGCAATGAAGTCAAAGAACTTGAAAATTTCCCAGGAACCTCATGTTGGGAAATGAAAAGCCTCAGAAGTCAGAGCTGAAACTCTCCATGAAAACACTACTCTCCAGGAAAGATTTATAACCTCACAGAGACAAGGATGGGTCAGTGGTGGGCAGGATCACACCCAGAACTGCTTAAACGTGCATATCTTGGTCTTTCTATTTAAATTTTAACCTTTAAAAAACGTTTTCTTCTTCATTATTTTTATTTTATATGTGTGGGTGTAATGCCTGTGTGTATGTAAGTGCACCTGTGTGCTGCAATGCCCATGGAGGTCAGAAGAGGGCATCAGTTCTCCTGGAACCTGAGTTACAGATAGTTGTTAGCTGCCACATAGGTGCTAGGAACCAAACCCAGGTCCTCTGCAAAAGCAGCCAATGCCCTTAACCACTGAGCCATCTCTCCAGCCCTGAACTTTAATCTCACTGTAGGTTTTGAAGATAGATTTGAGGAAATCACAGGATCTCTGTGCCTGTCTTCCCAATGTGATTACATCAAATCTGTATCCTTAAAAAACAAACAAGCAAAAAACACCTATGAATTTGGCGGTTTTATTGGATTCTCAAGGATGGGTGGCTGAGCTTGGCTTCTTCCAGTACAGGCTGTGACCTAAAGTTTGGTATCAGGAATAGTTAGCATCAGAGACTAAGAGTGTAGAAGAGAAGGCTGGAGAGATGGCTCAGTGGTTAAGAGCACTGGTTGCTCTTGCAGAGGACTGTGTTTGATTCCCAGCACCCACATGACAGGTAACAACCATCGGTAACTCAGTTCCAGGGGATCCGATGCCCTCTTCTGGCCTCTGTGTCACTGCACAACATGGGCGCACTTACATACATACAGGCAATATCTTCATACTCATAAAATAATAGTGACAAATAAAATATTTTTTAAAGTATAGGATAGAATATTTGGTGTTTGTACAATTATAAATTTATATGTCTTTTGATCTTAGGGCAATTGGGAAATTCAAAATGTAATTATATCACATAATATGAGTGTATATACACATATATTTTTATATAAATGTACATATGTAAGAGTTATATAAAGAATTGACTTTTAGTAGGTTTTAATCAGTGCTTTTTAAAAGTGAAAGTGAAAGAGACTGTAGACATACAAAGAACAATTAGAGGAGACCTTTATGAAACCCCAGTAGAGCTCTGGCAATCTAAGTATGTCTGTAAGAGCAGCAATATAGCAACACTCCATTATAAACATTTTGATTTAAATTCTAATGAGGCTCACAGTTTTAAAGAAAATGCTTTATATGGACATAGCCTAATTACTATTTGGTTCCATCAAGAATATTCTATTGTTCAATAACTGAACATAGCTATGGGAACATTCAGTTTCTATTCAAAAGTTAAATTATGTTTTACAAACTCTTTTTTATTTTTGTATACTTGAATCTAATAGCTTGTATAGGTTTTGTTAAAAAATTCAACATTAGCATTAAAAATATTGAAGGAAACATTATGGAAATTATCTTCAGTTTGCAGCTTGCATTTACAAAGACTCAGAAGTCTCTTTCTCCTCCAGCTTCATTCTTTCAAAGGCATAGGTGGGTCTTTTCATGCCTAGACACAATCTAAATGTTATATGTACTGATTCATAGATAGAATCAATGGGTTCACCAGCTTGTATTTCAGAACTCAAGAGATCCTTAATATTAACAAGTCGATACCTGAGGAAGTACTTTCATATGATCAATGGAGAAAATGTTGCTGTTCAAATATCTAAGCAGTTAACACTAATCAAACGAGATTAAAAGGGTGACTATTTGTTTGAAACAGTATACCTAGGGGCAGAAAAAGCCACCAGAGCTGAAATAATTCAGTTCTTACTCATTTATATATTTTCTCTAAGGCATTTTACATTATGATCCCAAGCCAAGCATGCCCTAGAGCCCCATTCTTAAAACCTAGCAAGCAACATTTAAAATAGCTCAGTATTACTCTATGAATAAAATTCAAGAATTTCATGTAAGAATGAGAGTGACTAAGTTGTTCAAGACAGTACGTGTATCTAGTATAATTCTTACTACATTTATTCTGAGAAATGGTGAAAGAAATCTTGTCCCTCATTTGAGGTTATAACAATATAGCCACTAATTATTTAAATTTAAAAGTTCACTTGTGTTTTGTTTCTATTCTAGAAAACTAATGTTTCCATTTTCATTAATTTCCTATTTTCCCATTTTATTTGCTTAGTTTAGCTATTCTTTTTATGCAGACAGTATTGTAAACAACAAAGTCTAGATGATAGGCATATATGTTATATTTTGCTTTATAATTTATATTTTGCATTATAATTAAATGCTGTTACACAGTCACTAACATTTTTAAAGTTAGTATCTGCACATACACATACATATATGCTACATTAGATCACACATTCTAATACATATCATTTGGTGCTGTGAAAATTCTTGTTTTCAAAATCTGGTTTTTGTTTGATATTTTTATCCATAAAAGGTAAGAATAGAAAAGTCATAAGATCCTCTTTCAAATAATTGGGATTTTCCTTTTTTAATTGTTAAAGAATGGATGTTTTATAAAGTTTTACTTCCCATTGTATTATTGAATTGTGCTGAAATTATTTCCATTTATCTTTTGAGTTCAGGAGAAAGCAGTAAATATCTGAAGAAATATCACTTGACCATTTTTTCTACCGCATGCATTACTATAGTTTCATCAGTGAATCAATTAGAATTAAAAACTGACTAAATTATTATTGAGGACTTATTAGTCAGTTCTATGTTCTGGGGTTACCAAAATATAGTATATTACTCTGAGGAAGTTAGCAAATATAACAGATCATTAAAAGCACTAAAAAGTTTAGAATCCAAATTCTATGAGAGTGTGTTTCAGAAAGAGATTAGTTTAAAACCTAGGAAGGACCCCATGACTATTCACTAATTAATAACAAGATTTCGGAAAGCAAAGCTTTGCAGAAAGTGTCAAGATCATTGAAGGGAAGGACTCTGTAAGTAAAATATTCAAGCAGATATCCACACAAGGCTAAGGTTGTGGTTTGGAGGTACAGGGAAATGAAGTGGAAATCATGCAAGAGGTACAAGGGCTGCCAAGAACGCCATCCACTGAATCACAGATGTCAAAACTGAACTACAGAAAAACAATGAGTCATTAATTTCAAACGAGAATATTGTGATGGTGTCTGTTTATGCTTTTGGAAAGCTTTGAGGACTTATTGTTTTATAAGCCCATCAAAGTCTGTTTAATTAAGATACCTCTCCTCATTTATAAGCAAGTTTAAAGAATGATATGAAATCATTCTATGAAGAATACTTCTCTCCTACTTTAGAGAAACATGCTCTCATTTCTCCCTGTTTTCATCTTAATTTCTAGCCTTCCATTTTTCATCTAAACACTAAGAATCATTATTCCACAGAATATCACTTGTAAAACAATACTGACATGCCTTGCTCTGCAGAGGAGGGATCAGTAAAACAGAACATGTAAACTGTCTTCATATAAAATACTCGTATCACGCTACCAGTGCAGACATGTGAACAGGATGTAGTTCAGTCTATATTCTGATAGGATTTGCAATGAATTAGCTCAAAGGCTTGTAGCTGAAATCTAGCCAGTTGTTTTAAAGATATTTGCGGGATTAATTTTGAGAATTAGAAACAATTTTCTGTGATGAATATGAAGTATAATTTTTGAATGTACTTGATTTTTACCCACATCATTAACAAATAAAGCTTGATGAAAGCCCATTCATTGCTTTGCATATGAAGTCCGTCTGTATTTAGCAACTCCCTCACAATCATAAAACATTCAAGTGAAAAGAGAGAAACAAAAAAAACAAAAAGATGACTAGTTTATAGCCAAAAAACATGGAACAAAGTTGTCCAAATTATTGGCACAATTTTTTGTTCTGACAATTTATTCCATTCTAGCATCTTGTCATACTGCCCAGATTCATTGACAGACTATTATATTCAGAAAGGCGCTGAAAATGTTCAGCACTTAGAAATGCTCTTGAGTCATATAAAAAATGTCTTTATTTAGAATGGAACATATAATACCTGCAAAATTTGTAGGTTTGAAACCACTTTCAGTAAGAATTAAAAGGCCCTCTTCCTTGTTGAAATAGGACTATCAATAGATGACTTGTCTGTTCCTGAGAAATAGTGGGTTCTTGTCCCTGACGTTGCAATTTAGTTTAAAATCACTTTATGATGACAGGGTACACAAAGATGATAAAACCAAAAGGATGACAGTCTAATCTTCAAAGATGATGGATCATCGATAAGAGATTAAATAACATAAACATCCGAAATACCAGATTATCAGGTGGTTGGCACACTTTCACTATTGCAGTAAGAAGAGACCCTACTGATTAGTGCAAGATGCTTTTTCCTGTTATGCAAAGGTTTATTTTTCCCCAAGGAAGATGAATGATAATTGTTCTGTGTTTGTAAGTTATGTAATTTTCTCAATTCATATATATATATGCACATATGTATATGTATACATATATGTATATATGTGATATTACCAAACAAAGAGTCAGAAAATCAGGTTTTACAAAGTATAATAACTGATTACTGGAAATTTAGTTTGGAATCATAGTCCCTAAATTTTAACAGTAGTTTTTATAGACTTACAAGAATGATGAGACAGGCGGGTCCTATAAAGCTCCAAATGAAGTTGTTTTCAGTGCTCAGCCAGCATCTGAAAAGTAAATGAAAGACAAAAAAAATCTATAAATATTTTGTATATACTCTAAAAAACCAGCATTTTTAAAGATACGTGAAGAATATTCAGTAGTGTGTTTGAATGCTCATATAGTCCTTTTAACTTACATTTTGGTAGTGCCGTAATATCTGTAGCCTAAGGATGCTGAGAATCCAACAACCACAGCTGGGCTGAGATAGCCAAAGATGTAAAAATTCTTGTGCAAAAATCCTTTGTTGTAGATGACCCCCACAACAATGAGATACAGGTGTATGCCTTCAATGCACATCCAAGCGAAGGCAGCTAAAAAGAAATAATGCAGCAGGCCAGCTATGATGGAGCAGAAGAGCTGAGATAGAAGGGAAAAGCCATCAGCAACATTTCCTCTGTATTCTCATAACACCTCTCAACTTTCTTCATGAAAAATGTCACTTTATATCACAACATTATAATATTCCAGTCTTGGGGCTGGAGATCTGGCTCAGTATAAAAGCTTTCGCTGCTCTTGCAGAAGACCAGAGTTCAGTTCCCAGTACTCACAACCACCTGCAACTTCAATTCCAGGGAGTCTGTTGGCCTCATTAATCAACTGCATACGCATATACATAAATAAGAGAGAACTTAAATAAAATATTTCAGTCTTGCTATTTAAGATGTGCTACTTATAGCTGACTTGACAGAACTGTACTACATTGATGGTAAGCATGAACTAATCTTGTGATAGAGCTTAGCACTGTCCAGAGACTTCTCATTTCATTCATCAATGTTCTGGGATAAATTGGGTCATATGTGAAATATTAGTGTCTTGGTGACTGTGTGATGATTTATGATGACTTCTATGTGGAGATATTTCTCTTTCCCATTTTACTCAAGCACAAAGAATGGAAATTATTGTTCATACCATAAAAAATAAAATGAATATCTTGATTAAGTAAAAAATTGAGTCCACAAAACAAACAGTACATTTTACCGAAATGTTTCTTGGAGAATTGTTTTCAACTGTCATATTACTAAATAAATTTGAAGTGGCTTTTAGTTAAACATCATTCCTGAGTATTTATTGATTACCTAACACTAGAGTTAGGCTTATAAGAACTAACAGTAGTTACCCACGACCTTTAAAGTAAAACTAATAAAATTCATCTCTGGGGAGGTTGCACAACTCACATCCCTATTTTCCTTATTGAAACCACATAATCCAAGAAGGTGTTAAAATATGTTGGATTGTGCTGTATAAAGTTCAGGAACAGAAAAATTTCTGGAAATTGAATTTGGAAGGCACTTATTGAGGAGGTGGGAGTTGAGATAAAGTTCAAAATGGGCAGATCTGATGGGGGAGAACTTAAAACACTTAAGGAATAATTTTGGCACGAAGGTGGGAAGAAATGATAGAAGACTACTGGGAGTGTGCAAAACGGAGAGGTGTCAAAACAGATAGGATGTTTATAGTCTGGTGTACACTACTTAAAATACATGCTCCTTTGCACCTAATTCAGAAAGGAAACTTGGTAACTACTGCTAGCTTCAGTCCTTGGAAGGACTAAGAGGACCGGAAACCAGAAGGCACTCTGGTCACGAGAATATGCTTCTCTGCTCTGTGCGAACTCCAACATTCTGCTCACACCACCCACCATGGGCTGCTGCCAGACTCTGGGTTACAGACATCCCTGCTCCCTAGAGATCAAGGAGGTTCCTGTGATCAGTGCTTTCGGCTCAAGGACGAATGAAAGGGCTCCATGGTAACTGTGATGAGCCTTCTTAGAACCGCATCATTGTTTAACGCTTTCTTCCTCCTTTGCTTCACTTGGGGTAGGACCTCATCGTGCCTGCTGGATCTTCCAGTCTGAAATTCCGATTTCCTCTCACAGCACTTCGTTTTTAACGCACATATTTCATGTTTAACCCTGCTCCTGCACAGCCCTAGGTTAATGAAATATAAAACTCTTTGGCGAGGTCCTAGGTAGAGCCCACTTATCCCTGGTGCTGCAGTTATGCTCGGTCCCAATCCTAAAATAAGCTTTGTTTATCATTCTTTCCCTCCTTAGTCCTTGATTATTGCTCAGGTACAAACAAAATGGGGATTCCTTGTTATAAAATTTATCTTTTCCCAATAATTTACATAACGAGAGATATTTGTGTTTAATGAACTTGACGAGTAGGTTGTTTATATACGTTACAATTATCAAATCTTTAAAAAGATAGTTTAAGGAATCACTGTCTAGTATGTATATCTTATTAAGACCTTAATTGTAATTGTGTTTATGTGATATGTTTATTTAGGAAAATACAAGAGAAAACAAGAATAAAGCACGTGGGTAAGGGGCGTTTCTACACACCTTATTTGTGCTTATATTAATCCCAACAAGGAATACCAGCTCAGCGAGGAAAAGGCTGCAGCAGAGGTTTTTGTGAATTGTTGTCCTGGTGCTTTGAATTTCACTGAAAAACCAGAAGGTGAAAATGCATATGGCGAGACAAATCAGTGAGATAATTATTCCGAGCTGAGTGATCCTCGTTAGGATATTGTAATCTTTAATTCCCTAAAGGAAAATAACAAGAAAGCGTTAAGAGCATGACTTAGGTAACTTATCAAAGGGACTGCAATGTGGAATGAGCTTCTCCGTGTACCACTAATCAAAGTGCTCACAAAATGCAAAAATTAAAGCACACATTTAGATGAGAAAAACTTTTCCTTTTGAAAGCCTTTGCCATTCATAGAAATCTGACATAAATCATGTAGCACGCTAACAGTACAACTGGTGAATTTTTTCCCTCTAAGTGCAGTGTATATTAGTATATCCCTGAATAACGCTATCACCATTAGCATAATGACATTGGAAAGGTAATTCATTATTGTAATGGGAAAACAGTTAAAACAGACATATCAATGGTAAATTCAAGACTTAGGTCTGTGAGGCGATTCATCTAAAACACAGTAAACGAAGGTAAAAGAAAAACAGAATATATGGATAACCAAAATAGTGTAATTGAAACTTTGAAATGGAAAATGTTTTTTTTTTATTCTAGTTAGATGAGTTATTTATTTTTATGTTCAGAAAGCAGAATAGAAGTTTCCCCCTTAATTAACATCTTGAAAGAAATCATCTTTACGACTGGTACCATTTTGGACAAATTTACTGTGCCACTTAATTTATTTAATGGATTCTAAGAATCCATAGAAGTAAATCAGTAATCTGATGAATATTATAACAGAGATAGAACATACAATTATATAATAATAATCAAATAATAATCTAAGAGGACAGTAATGAGGTAAAATTCATATGACAAAGATATTTACCTTAACTTTTTATGTTTGAGAATGTTTGAAGTTCAACATTGTGAAAATATATTAACTACAAATGTGCCAGATTTTACCAGGTATCAAATATTTTTGGACACATTGTCACTGGTAAAACTGAATTCATTACAAAGGAAAAGGTTTTTAGGTTCCATGACGCATTAAATGTGTGAAATACTACAGACAGCATACAAAGCTAAGAGCAAACGGAGAGATGTTTTCTCTAACATAGATGTCATGGACTACATAAGCCTTTGGTTAGAAATAACTTAAATTTCCACATTATATGCATCCTAGAAGGAGAAAAAGATAGACTAAAAGAAAATGCTGGGTTTTACAGGGATTTTAAACAAGCTGTTGGTCCCCAAGACAAAGATATGAAAAATTATTATTCTTTTTAATGACATGAAGAGAGAAAGTGATGGTCAAGTTTATAAACGTGAAGTGCTACATTGGCTTACAATGGAAGTGCCAGAAGACATCAAGATTGCAAAATGTGTCAGGTGATTGCAGCGGCACGAAGTATGGGTGTCATTTGAATATGTCAGCTCGCAGCCGTCCGAAGACCAGCTGCCCATCATGGTGTCAGGCGAGTAGTTCCAAAATGCACATTGAGTCCTATACTCCTCTGAGATCTGAAAAAGAAATGTTTTACTGATGAGAAAAAGAAAATGTTACACCTATGGTATTGTGCATGCCATATTTAAGATAGCACTGATATAATTAATATAACACCTGAACATTAGAACAGAGAATCAGCTGATAAATGAAGTCTGTGGTTTTATAGATGGCTTAAAATTCACAGTGCCACAATGCTCTATTTGATCTGTTTTGTAGCATGTAGTTATGATAATTCTTATTAAACAAGATCATGTTACTGAGGACAGAGTATTATATAAATTCATTATATGTCTTTACTCAACAAATGCTTATTATTTATTGAACAGTTGTCATTTGTCTGTGCACTAAAAGAGAATATTGCCAAAAATGTATATGCATGTTTGGTCTTACATTCTAATTAGAAATGAAAAAGTATAAAACGAGAAAATTAAATCAAAACAAGAAGAAAATGGAAAAATGGCCTGAAGATATTTTCCTGGAAGATAAAGACAGATAATTTATTATTATTAATTATTATTATTACTATTACATTTATTCTATTTGTGTGTGTACATGCATGCCTTTGGGTGTGTCACAACATCCATGTGGAGGTTAGAGGATGGCTTATAGGAGTCTGTTTCCTCGTATTATTTTGGTCCAAAGGATCAAACTCAGGTTGTCAGGATTGGCAAGAAACACTTTTACCTGCTGAGCCATCTCACTGGCTTTTAAATAACATTTTTCCATCCTTAAAGATACTAGGCCTAAAAGTTCCCAAAATTAATGATGTATGCAAACTAAAACTAGAAAACAGCTTAATTCTAGAGAACTAATTATGTAATTCACTAGTATTGATTAGAAACACTAAGGAAAAGTAGAAATATAAAATAACTGATTGGAGGTTGGGGTTCTAGCTCATTGAACATAAGCCTAGAATGAAAGGAATTGAGTTTGAGACCTATCACTGAAAGGATGGATGGTTAATGATGTATGCAAACTAAAACTAGAAAACAGCTTAATTCTAGAGAACTAATTATGTAATTCACTAGTATTGATTAGAAACACTAAGGAAAAGTAGAAATATAAAATAACTGATTGGAGGTTGGGGTTCTAGCTCATTGAACATAAGCCTAGAATGAAAGGAATTGAGTTTGAGACCTATCACTGAAAGGATGGATGGAAAGAAGGAAGGAAGGGAGGGGGGAAAGAAGGAAGGGAGAGTCAAAACCATATTAACTTTTCAGTTTAATTTTTGATGTTTACTATTTTCACATGCTAAGATGCACATATAATTACAGTAATATCTCCCAAAGTAGTCCAGGTTCTTTAACGTATATCACCCTTTACCAACACTAGAAAACAACTTACCTTTACGTGACTTAGTGTAAATGTTATTTTATCAAGTTCATACAGTGTTGGCGGATTTGAGCTAATTGAGGCTGAAATTACTGAAGAAATGACTTTTTCCTTTTCTTCAGAATGATCATAATCTTGAGGTTCAAGTAAGAGTTTGTTGGATGAGGAAAGCAGGAGGCCAATGCTCTTATAACACAAAAATGCAACTGCAGCCTTGCCTATGAATCAAATAAGTGTATTCAGTGAAAGTCTTACAAAATGAAAGTATATTAAAACCCTAAGGCATAAAACTTGAGTAGTCAAAATTTATACTCTTAGGAAAACATATATATTAAAATGCGGGCTGCAATAATCCCATAGTACATTATCACAGCGTATTAATCTCTTACATTCTATGACCTTTATGGACTATTATTACATCACCTTTGCATAAAATTTAGAAGGGAGATAAATAATGTTAGATAAATTTACATTGTGATCCTAACAAAGAGCCAGAGTGTTAAGTGTATTCATCTTAAAAGAAAAGAAATCTTGAAGTTAAGTCATTTTGCCCAAGTGCAAATACATGAATTCGAGAGCTACTGTGTGGAAATTATTGCTGGCTTATAGACCTAAGAGAGTTGGATGAGTTCTGACATGCACTAAGCTCAACCCTGTACACACTGCAATAGTTCCTTTCTACTTATGAAAACTACAGCTCTGTGGGGTCAGGGGAGTGAATGTTTTGCTTTGAGAGGCATATGTTTATTCATTCCCTTAGCACTACTCAAATGTGGTATAAGTCCAATGCTGCAGAATTTTAAATACAAATATTGATAATATAACAAAAAGACAGTGATCCTCAAACTGAACAGGAACATTCATTCAGTATGATTATGTTAAGTTGAAGTTGCTAAGTGTATTACCATTCATCATAATTTTTAAAGACATCAAAGCAGATATTGCAAACAGCCTTGCCTAAGATTGGTACATAATATACAGTATTTCTTTGACCTCTTAGCTTGGAAAAAAATTTATCCAAGAAACAAAGAAATCTTAGTCAAATATAGCTGGGCTAGTGAACTGTGATTCCCAGAGTTGACCATGAGGCTGTGGTTTGACTGAAAACCTTCTCAGGAAACATGAAGTCCACTTGGAGGAATGGTACCTTTTCAAGGATCACAGTATGAAATTGCCCTAAATAAAATGAAGAATCAAGAAGATAAGTTGGACTTTATTTTGTTTATTAATTTCTGTTATGTTACCTAAAGTTCAATGCTTGTTTAGCACCAACTAGTGATTTTGGACAAGAATTGTCACCACAGGCTCTGAAATCCCCTTTGATCTCATTGTGAATACCATTTTGTCATTGTTTATCCTTAAGATTTTGAACCCCCTCCAGTTCCCACGATGTTTTGCTGATTTTAGATCTGATTGTTCTTTGAAATTTCTCACCAAATGTTAGGGTTTGAATTTGAAATGTCCCCTACTCACTCATACTTTGAATGCTCGATCTCCAGTTGGTGGAGATATCTGTAGGAGTTTCTAGGAGACCAGGCCGGCAGAAGTAGGTCCCTAGGGCTGGGGCTTTGAAGGCTATCCCCACTCCCGAGTGCATCTTGCTTTCTCTACTGCTTAATCTCTGGGGATGTGAGACGTCTGCCACACAGTGATTTCACCCTGCTGTCCCTCCCATGCCTTCCCCATCATGAGGCAAAGACTGAGAGAAGCCCTTTGAAACTGTGAGCCAAATAAATCTTTCCTCCCTTAAGTTTTCCTGCCAGACGTCCTGTTAACTAACACAAAACATTGGACAATCCACCAAAGAAATAAGAAACCTTTATTCAAAAACAACAACAACAAAAAAAAAACAGGGCTCACTCACTAACAAAAGAGACTTCAAAAATAGTCTCATTTGAAAAGAATATTTTATTTCTCACCATTTTGTTCTGTTGCTTACAATGTGTTTTTCCTAAGATCTGTTAGCTTTACTACATCTTTTTAAAAGAACAAGATGCAGCCTTTAATTCCATGACTAAAACAAACATTTGAGCATTTCTTTAATGCAAATAGCTGTGATGAATTTATAGAGATGCCACTTCAGAATAAATACATATATGCACTTGTCAAAATTTCCATTTGATAAGAATTTTCCATTAGATTTATTTATCTCCTCTAGATCACTTTGTTTTGTGAACTTTGGTTTTATTTTCTTTTTCTGAAATGGCATCAATCAAGTTTTGTCACAGTAGTGCAAACTTGAGTTGCAATCTAGAGTACTAGAAAACCATCAGGGTGAAAAAAGTGGATTTTCTTGTATGTTAAACTCCAAGGTCAAGTTTCTAACATAGACTGAGAAATGAATTTCTCAGAGGCTCATCCAAATGGCTTCATTGCTCCTTCTTTTGAGAATAACTAAAACATTCTTTCAGTAGGACATTCTACAGTTGTCTGTTTTGGCATCTGATTATTATCCCAATTTCGTAAGTAATTAAAATGAAATATATAGAATTTAGCAACAGTCTATTATGCTTTTACTATAAAACTATGTTTTAGAGCATACACCTTGTTATGCTCAGCCTTTACCCAGTACATTTCTAAACACAGCCCATGTTAAACCTTCAGAACCTGCGTGCCGCTTGGTCCTCCTTCAGATCCCAAGTGATATACAGTGTATATTTTCTAATGATTTTCACTAACAAAACCAGTTGCAGATGTCATTGGGAAGGTGTGATCAATTTATTGTATTTTCCCTTACCTTTAACATTGAACCTTGAGGAAAATACATTGTCTCATCCTACCTTCTTGAGAGCTGAGATTCTGCACCTTTCAACTGTCTGTTTGCACCATCACTAATATAGTAAAGCTACCATACAATCAGCCTGTACCTCGTTGAGGTTTTAATTACATAATGATGTCATCATCTGTCTCCATAATAGATATTTTCCACTCGTTTTTCTCCCAACTTCTAAACACTTTTCAAACTGTCTTTGAAATTTTAACTCTTTAGCAGGTTCTGTGGATGGGCTCATAAAAGTTGTATGGAGGTCTCATCGAATACATATGGCATGACAGTCTAGGGGCCAAGGAGTCAGTGGCAACACTGAATGGTAGTTACGTACCATTTGTTTTATAACCATATGCTTCTCACTTTGATTGGAATATAAGTAATCGAGAGGATAATCCCAATAGACAAGGAAAAAAGAAAACCAAGCAGTAGAAAACAACAACAACAATAACAAAAAAATTAATAAATAAAGCAAACTGAAAAGACACCACGAAGACGGATTTCAGAATGGTTATTCAAATTAAGGGAAGCTCATCTGTTCAAGAACCAGTTTCTATATGTGCAACATGTTTACTGTATAACTTTTTATATTTATGACCATCCACACATTTCCATTTCATACTTTCCCTTGATAATATATGTTTACTTATGTGAGAACAATTATGACTGAAGTAATGCTATCATGGAGAGAATTTCTATAAACATTGCTCTAAAAGGACAGAAATGATTACATAAATTAAAGTTAAGTGATAAGGAAAACCTAGCTGGGCAGAATTCTTTGTTAACTTCTTCCCATGTTGTATTATTCTGAACTCTTTGCCGATAACAAAGAGATCCATTAACTCTGTGCCCCAGTTTCATTATCCATCTAATGAGGTCATGATATTAGATATCACTAAACTGTTAGCCACCACCATTCCCCATTTTAATTTTTCTTAAATGTTGCATTTGGTTTAGAGTTTACTTTATGAAAGCTAGGGAATGATGGATGGAAAAGAAGTCTAAGCCTAAACAATAACAGACTATTTTTTTTCTTTTGGTCTTTTTGAGACAGGGTCTCCCTGTAGCCCCAGCTGTCCTGGAACTCACTATGTAGACCAGGCTGGCCTTGGACTAACAGAGATCCACCTGCCTCTGCCTCCCGAGCGCTGGGATTAAAGGCATGTGCCACCACGCCTGGCAATAATGGAGTATTTAAAAAAACTTATCTCGTTTTTGTCTTCAAAAAAATCACAAATTTGGTTTAATGGTGAAGAATCAAGGTGCACACATTGTCAGCTAAATTTTCACCAGGTATTTATATTAGCATATAGTCTCAAATACAAATACAGATATTCTATATAGAAACTTAAAAATTTTTACAGGAAAGTACACATGTACATATATTATAAATAATTGCATGGTAAGTATTTATTAGAAATTAATTAACATGTATAAGATTGTTCAAATCCTACCAGTTGACTCATATAAAGCTTTTCTCTTGGAAAATATTTTTACATAGCCTCCGTCCACGTTCATATGGGGATGAGTATGCCGCATGTGATTTGAATCAAAAACGAAAACCTTGAGAGCTGAAATAAGACCATGAATATCATCAATTTTCTGAAATTAGTTGAACCAATGTCTTTTTTAAATTTAGAGACAGTTTCATCCACTGTTATTGCATCTCGGTTTCTTACTGAGCTCAGGTGGAGTGAGTACCCACTGAGGAGGTTGGAGCAGAAGAATTCCTTTCCAAAAATCCTGGCAAATTTCAATTTTTTTAAAAAACAAATTTCATTATCTCTGTCATAGTTACTGAGCTAAATAAAAGATAATATCTCTATATACTCCAGGACATCTATACATAATTAGTAATACGAACACAAAGATGAGTACAATGTCTTGCAGATGTGGGGCTGCGTGAACCACAGGATAGCTATGATTCAGCCTCACATGAAATTGTAAACTTAAGTAAAGCACTATGAGATATCTTTTAGAGTTTATTTTACTTTATTTTATTTTTTGGTAACTCAGTTGACTGGTTTTCAAGTGTGAACTTTATAGATGGTAATGTCCTGCCTCAATGTCCAAAGGTTGGACATGCCTCCTAGAACATCTGCAATTTAAATATAATGTACCATCTAAAGACTGAAAAGATTAAATTCTTGAGTGCATGAGAATGTGTTTTATGAAGGAGAACTGTAGTGTGCCTATAGACTAATCCCAGTACTTTCACCATTAATTTTGATACCTGATGCATCTCAAAGACATAATAATTGTAAATCAACAATTGCATAGCAGGATGTCAGGTGGATATCCAATAAAGACATATGCAATTGCTATTTCATAAGACATATCTTGTTTCTTCAGAACAATTTTATAACCATTTTCAGCTCTATCCAAGATTCTGGGTCTTCTCAGTCAACTGCATGAAGGAGGAAACTTTGTAATTTGCTATTGCTTATTATCAAAAGGCAAAGCATTACTAAAGAGCTATTTAAGTATACTATATACTCCTCCTTTCTTCCTGTGTGGTCCTTCATCCACATAGCTTTGGTAAATGAACCAGCATTGCTTCTTCCCATGACAACATGGTGGCAAATTTAATTAACTAGTATTTCAGGAACTGTCCCCTTACTGTCTTTTGAGGATGGTTTCTCTGGAAAACCCTACAGCTTCCAAACTGAACTTTCCCTCTTGTCTTACCTACGTCAGTGGAATTCACATCAAACTGAGTGGTCTTTTGGAAATTCTGAGATATTCTTAAGGTGGCTTGCTCAGCAGTATGCATCAGTTTTGTGAGATGCATTCTTCTGTGATTTGTAGGCAATTTGTCCCAAGTTATAAATGTATTCTTTTGAACAAAATTATTGATGGTTTTTACAAATTCCTATTTAAGAAAAAAATGTGTCATTAAAAATATTGGGATCTGATATTGAGGACAAATGTAAAAATTTTAAACATCAATAATATTATGAATTAAATGTCAATATACTCACAGTAAGAATTGAATTGGAAAGCATGTCCTTGGCTGAAACGTTCCTGCTCATGGAGCTTAGTAATGGGGATGACTTAGCTAATATCTCTATGTATGTGATTATATCTGTCTGTGAAAGCTCAGTCACAGAATTTCTATAGATTTCTTGCAGCAAAGCCATTGGTTCTTTTATGGGTCCAATCTGAGCAAAAATGAGTTCAGAAAAGGAGAATCAGATTCTGTTGGAGAATTTTAAGTATACGTATGGTTTATGAGATTTGGAAAACAGCTCGGAGGGTAACCCACTTGCCTCACAAGATGGGGGCTGGAGTTCAGATACCAGAACCCGTGTGAAAAATGGCCTTCGTGGCAGTCCCCCAGTAATCCCAGTGCTTTGGAGGCAAAGGAGCCCAGGGGCAAGCTGTGATTAGTCAAATTGGTGAGTTCTAGGTTCAGTGAGAGACCCTGTCTCAATAAATAAGGTAGCCAGTGACTGAGAAAGATACCCAATGGCAGCACCTGGCCTCCACATGCACTCACACATGTGTTTCCACACATGTGAACACACATGAACACCAGGCACACCTACAGACACATTTAGAAAACATAATAAGACATATATTAACTTTACTCAGAGGTCAGCTCTCCTGTCTTATATATAAGTAATTTAACAGATTGAAATAGGATCATGAACACTGAAATCAGAGTTTATTTAGAAAGGATTAGCGAGTAATATAGAAAGCTTTGAGTTTACTTCAGAAAGACACAGAACATATTTGAATGGATAATTTAAAAAATAGCTTTGAAAGTAACATCCTGTTCTCCAGTAAGGAATTATATTCTAGCCAGTAAAATTACTTTAATATTTAAAATCATTAATTCTTATATGTATTAATATCATAAGTAAGAAATTGTGACTTAAGAGCCTGTATTGGATTGTTATCAACCAAAGCGTTCTTCAGCACGTGATCATATGGGAACCTGCCTTGGCCAAAAGTGGCTCCTCAAGTTCTGGCCCATCCTTTCAATCACATAGGGACAATTTTACAAGTGTTCTCTTATTTGCCCTTTGAAGTGCTCACTTTGAAGTACAAAATCTAGTTGCATTTAACAAGGTCTCTTAGAATGTAGGGCTGGATCTGAGTCAATGTGTGTTTTTATTATTTTATTCAATAACTTTCTTTTATGTTGAAAATAATTTTCCAATACAGCAAATAATGAAAATTAACATAAATTAAACAGGTTAAACCTTCTCCAAAACTTTGGAGAGTTTTGAATTAATCCTATCTGTGATGTACATAATATCTCTCTGCACAAAAACAGTTTTAATTCTCTATGAAGTTCAACTGCTGGTCTTTTCGAAATTGATTTAGGTTGCATTTCTAACTGAGCTCAAAATGGTAAAATAATATAAATTTTAACCAAACTCATCTACTTACTTTTTCAAAAGTTTTATTAACACTTGCAGCAATGCAGGCATTATCCAAGTGGCAATTTGCATCCACACTTTCTGTAGAAAAAGAAAACACTATACAGTAAGTTTAAAAATTATTTTTTCTTTAGCTGATCATTTTGACTAAAATGACTTTGCTCATTTTCACATTAAAAGTGCATTCTTTAACATCTGAGTTTCCATCTGCATTATACAGTAAAAAAAAACATATCACAGAAAACAGAAGACAGAAGTTTGAAGGGTTTGGGAATGAATGTAAATT